TGGAAGAAGTACTCTTTTACTTGTAAAAGTGATACCTGGAAAAAAAGTACTAGCAGTAAAATGTACATCAAGTACAAAAAGTAAAAGTATTTGTTATGCATTAGGACACATTTCAAATTCATATTATTAGATTATAATTATTGTTGCATGAATGTGTTCACAACTTGAAGTATATGAAGTAATTAAAATGATGAGCTTCACCTTTACCAGCTGCAACATTAAAGTAATTAACACATTAATGCATCACAAATTATAATCCAGTGATATATTTTATTCTGAAATGGGCCATTCTGCATAATAAGTACTTTTACTTCAGGTACATTTTGCTGCTAGTACTTTTGTTTTCTTTCATAAGTGAACCTTTGCATGCATTTTTTTTTATTTTACTTTTACTTGTAGTATGTTTACACTGTTGTATTGCTATGTTTACTTAAGTAAAACATTTGAATACCCCATGGAGTGAATGTGACCTTTGTTACTTTATTAGTCTTTAAAGTCTTTTTAATGTAAAATGCAAATTGTTTCATCAGAAGAGTCAGTCGGGTGTGATGTTCTCTCTGTAATTAACTTTAAATTTCACTTTTTGTTGCTGCTGCTGTCAAACGTCTTTGGCCAAACTTCCTTCAAAATCAGCAAAAACAAAGCTTTTTAAAAAAATGTTTTTTAACTGAGACTAAACTCCTCCATCTTCCTCCACATTTCCTGACGGCTTCACAGTCTGTCTCAGCGCTCACAGCAGAGCTTTGTGTTTCAGGATACGTGGGCGTTGGTGGGAGAGCGAGCAGATAACATTATGCAACAAAACTGGCTTCAACATCCTGAACAAGTAACAAACTGAAACACGTAGGAGGTGCTTTATGTTTGTTTGAGCTTCATTGATAAAATTAATAAAATAAATGTTCAGTGGCTTTCTTTGAGTCGCATGTTAGCATGCTAGCCTGCTAGCATGTTAGCACAACTGGATTGATTTGTTCCTGCTCACTGCAACCACGTGAAAGAAGAAAGAGTCTGATGTTACGGGGGTTTCCTTTTTATGGCCTTTGAGGCAATAAAAAGTTCAACATGAGAGAGTTTAATCTGCAGCTGCATCAAGAACAGCTTTAAAATCTGATATCTGCAACTGATTAAAAATATGGAGGCAACATAACAAGCAGACGGCTGCAAAACCTGAGCTGAGTTTGTGATCAACATAAAACATTGTGAGGAAAGAAAAGCAAATAAAATGACATGGAAATGAGGAGAGGAGAGGAGGCTTTAAGGGGAGAATAAAGGCGGGGGGGAAAGGAAAGGAGGAAGAGGAGAGGAGAGGAGGATTAAGATTAAGAAGGAAATGGAGAGAAAAAGAAAGGAAAAAAAGGAGAGAAGCAGAAAGGAAAGTACTAGTAGAAGAGCTGCAGAGAATCTAATGTGTGTTCTGTATTTTAATGTGCAGTGTTCAATGTGACTTCTTCAACCAACACACTTTTCTTTCACTTTACATTCTCTGTGTGTGTGTGTGTGTGTGTGTGTATGTGTATGTGTATGTGGATGCAAGCAAGAATCTGAAAAATCTCTCTCCTATTACCCATGAGGCTTTGCAGCGTGTTGACAGCACAATAGTAAGCCCCTCAAGGCCAGCTAAAACACTCACACACACACACACACACAAACACACACACACACACACACACACACACACACCTCTAAGTGAAAAGATATTTTCTTGTTTTCTTTCTGAAAATCATTAATATTTTAAACCCTGGTTGATATTTTTACTATTTTATGGGTAAAATCCATTTCCTGTTCGCTGAGTGATTAAATAATTTGGTTTTTAGGCAGATTTTCTGGGTAACATCACAGACACAATATTGCCATGTGTTTCTACACTCTGTGGTTTGTATGTACTAAAACAATTTCTTACAGATCCTCATTGCACAACAATATATACTAGATGAAGTACATAAAAAGTATATTCTGTATATCTCTGTTTTGTTTGTATCTCGTGCACCAACAAAGTGTTTTACGGTTATTTATTTCTGTTTGGAATGTAACTGCCATGAAACAACTAGCTAATCGTTATTTTTCTCTCTAGCTCACTCACTCGCTCTTTTTTTTAAAGTTTTGAAGCTGTCCAACAATTCCTTACTTTATTTTTAACGTTAATAAACAACAAGAAACGCCCACCTTTCGTCCTAATAATGATCCTACAATCCTTCCTCATTTTATGAATGAAGTGGTGCACAAGTTCAAGAAGCAGGGCCGTCTGTGTTTGACCAGTTGGGGATGCCAACTCCACCCCTAAAAAGATACATTAAAATAGTGGAGCCGGAACACCTGGAACTAAATTAAACTAAATACTACAGGAACTCTGTCTGGTTCCTGGGATTGAAATTCTCCTCTGAGTTCCTGCAGGGGAAAAAACTTTTCTGTCTGATCCTCACTTCTTTAATTGTGCAATAACTGATGTTTTGGCCACTTGGGGGCAGTAACAAGATGTGAACACAACACTGACATCACCTTTCAAGTTTATATATTGAATGTCGTATTTGTGTCACCTGATGAATGAAAGTCCAATATTTGCTCTCTTTTAGCTCTGTTTTTGGTCTCCACCACCTCCTGAAGGAAATATCTAGCTCTTTAGCTGCTAAATGCTCCACTGTGTTCACCAGCTCGTCCATAACTATGCCTGTCTGCTGTTTGCTGTTGAGCAGGTACAGTACAGTGGCTTTTTACAGCTTCTTCTCTGAAAACGATGCACAGAGAACGCTTGAGTGAACCACAACTGTAAATGTTCAGATGGACAGATAAAAAACTACCCTAAAGTGAGGCAGATTTGGCTGCCATTATTATTAAAAACATGAATCAACCCGTTCTCCTCCCAGGGCGTCACATATGGACGCTTTGTCAAGACCCCTTGACGTCACTTTTTCACACCCAGGCTACCTTAGCATCGTTTTTTGCATGTATAGGGCTCTGCGGTCAAGTTAGCAAGAATACCTATGCATCATCAAGTTAGACTTTCAAAATAAAAGTAGTGGTTAACATTGTGAAACAGTGCAGTTTGTTTAGGTTTATGAAAACATCATGGTTTTGGTTAAAATAACTGTGACTTAAATTATGTAAGTTAAGTAATACCACTGTAAGTGACATGACTTGATAAAGGAAAAGGAATCAATGTTGACTTTTTGTTTTCCTGGGTGAAAATCTGGTTTTCGTCCGAACCACATCCTTACTCGGATATTTCTGTTATTTATACGCGGCCCACTTTTAGTGTTGAACAATGGCGCTAAAGGGTGCCATGTGTGTTGGTACCAGACACTGAAAGACAAAGCGTAGCTATCTGACGCCCTGGGAATATAAACAGGCTGGAATTATAGCTGCTTTAAAAGGCTGAGGTGCTTGGTTTCAGGATTAAGTTTTGAATGTTAAAGCAGTTTAATGTTTGGTTAGGGAGTGCATTATGTCAATAGAGGCCCTCACAAGTATAACAGAACAAATGTGCGTGCATTCACAACAGTATAATGTGTTGCAGGACTCTTGCGTTGCATTGCATTAGATTGTAAAGGTGTTTGTGTTATTTTGTCCATCTGTACTCCCTCAGTAGGAGTCTCAGTTGTTTCTACGAGTTTGTTTGTGTGTGTGTGTGTGTGTGTGTGAGATCATGGCTGGAAGCGAGGAAGAAGATGAAACGAGTCTCCTGTGTTTCCTGACAACACACACACACACACAAACACACAGTGCTACAGGCTCAACATACATAATCAATCAACCCTCACTGTGAACCAGAAAAATAAAATAAAATATAGGTTACACACACACATACATACACAAACAGAGGGCATACCAAACAAGCAGCTATGATTATCTGTGGCTGTGGTGTGTGTGTGTGTGTGTGTGTGTGTGTGTGTGTGTGTGGGTGTAGATGATTAAAATGCCTAATAAAGTCAAGAGAAAGCACTCAGCCTAAGTAGCAGACAGTAAAACGCAATCAAAACATCAGGCTGGGACTCATTAATGTGTGTGTGTTTGGGGGCTTGTTTTACTATATTCATGGGGTCTGAACACCGGGAGTCCAATATACTTGTAGGTCCGACATCTTTGTGAGGACCAAAACGCTGGAACCCAGTCACTGACGGGTCCTCACAAAGATAACGACACATGGCTGAGTGTGTGTGTGCGTGTGTGTGTGTGTTTGTGTGTTTGTGTAAGTGAGTTAGTGAATGCATGCAGCCAAATTGAATCTTCAGACTGAAGTGGATGTAATGTGTAATCTAGATCAAATGTGTTTACTGTGTGAGACGGAGACACACTCAAAGATCAATGTAATTCAACTAAGAGCAACACTTATTGGCTGAAGTAGTTTCAGTTACTATGGCAACCGACACCATCAGGACCACTCCGTCTATCTATCTATCTATCTATCTATCTGTCCATCCTTTGCTAGAAACAGGAGGTGACAGGAGCTATGTTAACCCCTACAGAATGCAATTATTCATACCGTTCCTGTAGAGTGAAAACCACGTGTTTCCAAATGTGGTGATATTAGATGTGTGTTCTTTCATAGGCTGAGACAAGCCTCCTCCTGTTTAAGCTCATTTTTAAACCCTTCTCGGATCAGCTGGAAAATGCATTGTCACAAAGCTGAACAGAGGGCTGTTTCTCTGAGCTCATGAAAATTTGAGTTGTTAAGAGATATGTGGTTTTTTACAGGACAGTGATGCTAAAAATATAACGATCTTATAGCCCATGATGCATTACTGTAGGTTAAACTACCCAACAGGCTATAAAGTAGTTAAAATGAGCTCAACCTTCAACAACTATAGCGGTAAAATCAGCCCTTCCTCACCCAGAAAACAACAACAACATAGGTTGATAGGTGAGGGTGTGGAGGAGGTGGTTTACATTCAGCTGTAGTAGGGAGAGGTGGGGGAGGTAAGCAGAGCCAGGTAGAGTAAATAGTCACAGCTGCTGTCCATTGACTAATTATTATCTCCTTCAATAGTGTGCAGTAGTGTGCTGGACCTCCGATGTCTGCCGCCTGCTGTGACTCACATATAGGGAGAACAGCCAGGGGGGCTGTGAGTTTGAGACTGTAGTTATTGTTTGTGAAGAACTGCCCAGAAGAGATCGGCGGGAGCAAGCTGGGAAGCGTGTGGCCCAGTGCAGGCAGAAGTTTTATGCTGGGAGGTGTGTGGGTGAGTGGCAGCTTGTACTGTTTGCAACATGCTCCTGTGTCAGTGTCTGTACTGAAGTAGAAGTAGCTAGAGGGTTCTGCTACACTGGCACCCACCTCAGTACAACCGTCAGGAGAATGGCGGACCCAAGAAAGCAGCAGCGTGGCATTGTTGGCACAGATGCTGGGGGAGAATGCAGCGATGCACCAGCACCAAGTGGAGGCTGCCTGGCAGCAGTAGGAGATCAATTAAAACCATGGCCACCTCCACAAAGGGTTTAAGTTTTACATTATGTGTGGCCTCTTGCGGCCAGGGACAAAGTGCATGTGAAAAAACACCAGGTGTAGGGTATAAATAACCAGAAAGTCCTTCTTTTTGAGTTGTAGAGTGGGTAGTTAGTAAATTAGGCAACCTTCACCAAGGAGACTGGAGTTGGGTTTCCATATGAAACAAAAAGTCAACATTAGATTTTGTTTTTTGCAGCATTAGTAGCGGAAGCAATAATTTTGGTGTTTCTTTGCTTTTTAGGTAGCATTTTATGTAGCCATAGCTAGCTAGCATTAGTGTTTTTTGTAACATTAGCTACTGTTAGTGCTAGATGTGCTAGCAGGTACTCCTTCAGTTGCAATGGGGAACAGAACACTCATTTTACTTAGATACTTACATTTACAATAATAATAAATTTTTTTGAATGCAGAACTATTGTACTGTCATAGTGGTGTTTGAGGTTTTATCAAATTTTTTCCTCTTTATGAACTTTTCCATATTTTTTAGTTGCTATTCACTTTCTGTTTGTGTTCTTGTTCCTTTGTCTTTAAGTTTTCTCAGTTCATCCTCCTGGAGACTCTGACAGTTTTCTTCATCTATGCTCATAACTGCTCTTCATGTGTTGTCTTCATTAACTGCTTCATCCTCTCTCATCTCCTCTTCCTCTGCATGAATGGTCTCCTTATGAACAGCTCCACTGCTGGGGTAACCTCCATCACCTCAAACACCAACTGCACATCTACAAGATAAAAACAAGGACACTAAGAGACATGTTTGATCCACATGAAGACACAAACTGGATCATTAAGAAGGGGAGCAGATCTGCTGGAGTCCACACTGCAATGTTTCACTTCAACCACAAGAGGGCACAACAGGCTTTCTGACAGGCAACTAAATACTTACCATTGTTGACTTTATAACACAATCTAATGATTTAGAAGCACGTTTAAGGACATTTATATAAAGAGTAAATAAACTGAGTCTGCAGGCTGGTATCCAGAGCCTGAGGTGTTTTGGCTGGACGGTGAGGGAAACCTCCTCTCTGCTGGACCTACAGAGACAGTCAGAGGTCCTGATGACCTCTATACTGTCAGCAGCAGAGTGACTGTGGAGAAGAGACACAGCAACAGCTTCACCTGTAGACTCCAGACCAGAGAGAGTCACATGTTGCACCATGCTGTTCTGGGATTTATAATTTCAGTTTGTCTTCTCAGTCATGTCGAGGTATGTAAGAAGTGTCTTGGCTCCAGGATTTGTTGGTCTGTTTTTTTTATTTCAACATACCATCACTATTTGTCTCTGTGAAGGAAGTTAGAGGTACTACGTCACAGGTTACCTCAGGTCATGATAGAATCAATTGCAGAGCTAACGCTAAGACAAAGGTGACAGCAAGGGACTCAAATCAATAGGTCAGACTCTCACTCCTCTCTGCCTGTTTGGTCGACTGACTGACGCAGCTGCCTTGATAAGGATTTATTGCTATCCATTTGTTTATTAACCCAAGGTCGAGGTTAACTTCATTTTGTTTCATTACAGACAAACTGACTGGCTCTCTTATTTGAACACTTAGTGAATCTCTATGGGTCTATGAAGGATACATATCCCCAGACAGGAACTCATGTTTTCACACTTAGTATGCTGGGACTGTATCTCCTCAGCCGAGTTTTGTTAAATAATACTGTATAAGTCTTCATCAGTCTCTGAAACTTCTTTTACATCACCTGAACCTGACTCTCTTCAGTGTTTTAACAGTTTCCTTAAAGCTTTGTAACCAACTTTAACTTTTATTCTGTAGTTACAACCACAACCCTTAGATGAGGATCTAAAGCGTCACGTAAGAAATGTGACTTGGTTTATAGACACTGTCCAGTAATTAACTGGAGGCCTGAGTCTATTGGAGTCAGTCTGTCTATCAGAGACTGTACTCCTTTTAAAACGAGGCTGTTTGCTCCGTTTACCCAATCATTTCATTTTGACAGTGGCATGTAGTTCCAGTCCTCAATGGTTAACACTGGTTTCTTTTAAAACATTAAAATGTCAGAACAAATGCCCTGTTTTGTTGTTCACCAGTTGTAAGAAATACCGGTTGATCTATATTAAAAAGATTAAAGACATAGAAGAAGCTCTGAAGACAAGAACTTAGAGTGGTAGAGTGAGAACAGTAGTCAGCAGACAAGTGTCAGGAAGAAGCACGATCATTGCAGTAACGCAACCAGATTCACACCAACGTCACTGTGAGCATGTTAGCTTGGGGCGACAATAGCTCAGTTGTAAAGACATTCATCAAGCAGAGGGTACTAGGAAACACTCAAGAAGGTGTTTGTAGCTCAGCTGTCACTTCATCTGGACCGTTGCCAACAGCCTGCCTGTAATTACAATGATCATTCCCCTTGTCATGGCATGAGTAATTACTAAGTGTATGTGCTATTTTAATTTGGTAGGTTACACTAGCAAGTGATTTACATTTAGTACATTTTAATTATAGGCACCTTTCAAAACACTCAAGGTCACCTAACAAGACAACGTGTGTAGCAATAAATCAATAAAATTAAGAAAAACTAAATAACTGCATTAATTCAGTAAGGGTGTATACTGTAGATAAAATTAGATACAAAAGATTACTGTGACCAGATGAACGGTTGGATTAAAAAAAAAGGTCCATATATTGATACATTTTACTGATGATACTTGTAAAAATACACACTGCTCAAATAAATAAAGGGAACACTAAAATAACACATGAGGCTCAGTAGTGTGTGTGGCCTCCACGTGCCTGTATGACCTCCTTACAACGCCTGGGCATGCTCCTGATGAGGTGGTGGATGGTCTCCTGAGGGATCTCCTCCCAGACTTGGACTAAAGCATCTGCCAACTCCTGGACAGTCACTGGTCTGTGGTGCAACGTGGCGTTGGTGGATGGAGCGAGACATGGATTAATGTCTGGGGAACGGGCGGCCCAGTCCATAGCATCAATGCCTTCCCCTTACAAGAACTGCTGACACACTCCAGCCACATGAGGTCTAGCATTGTGTTGCATTAGGTTCATAGGTAGCTTTAATGTCACACATGCACAAGTACACAGTGAAATCTATTTCTATTGGAGCAAGCCTCCGGGCCGCAGCTATATTCAGCGCCGCCACTTGCTTTCCAGAAAAGAATTAATGCAGACAGCAACATAGTATACATGACATAACAACATACAATACATAATAATACACGAGACAACACACATTACATGCGGTCACATGGTGGGATTTTTTGAGGTGAGTTGTGAGGAAAAGAAATAAAGAGGGCGGTTTCGAGGCAGTCAGTTCGGGGGGGGGGGTGAGTAAGATAATGAGTCTGTGTTTGTGAAGTATGAGACTTCAGACTGACTATGCTCGGGTGGAGGAGGGAAGGGGCACTAAGGCAATAATTTTTTATCCAATTTAGGTTGATTCGGTAACATTTATCCAGATCAGTGTCCTTCAATCGCTCTCATCCTCAGCGTCATATGTGCATCCAGTTCATGTAGTGATTTCAACATTTCTTCTAATTTCATTGTCAGATCAGTGGTTACTCTCAGCAGCTCACCAGACTGCGCCCCGATGGTGTCAATCCTCCTCTGCGCTTCCACAGACGGAGATGTTACGAAACAGTTCACCGTTCTGATCAGCCCTTTGATGTAAAACCTTCAGCTTTTCATTCACCCCATTTAAGCACTCTTTAAGTTCCCCAGACAGATTTTGGGTAAATTTACTGGTGGCTGTCTTACCAATTTTGACATATTAGGGAGATTCCAAGCCCAATAATCAGGAAGCCCACTAACAAAATTCCAATTATCCATAAATCTTCAATGTCCTCCACAGATAAAACATCCAAGCAAACCGCTTGCCAGGTCTCCCACGAGTCACGAGCGTAGCCTGCAGCGAATGTTCCACTGTGACAGTTAGGCTCACCCGGTGAAGCACCTTTCTAGGTGAAAATATTGTCAATAGCGTTGAGTGACCAGTTGATCAATTCCATTTTCATGGTTTCAGGAGAACAGCAGGCAGGTGGTCGAAAGAGAAAAGTTTCCACACGACCAAAGTAGACAGAAAATAGGAGCAAGCCAAGATAAGAGGGGAGAGTAGGAAAAGCACGACTGCTCTCTACAGTATCAGGAAGAGGAACCCAGGACCAACAACACCAGCATATGGTCTCACAGGGGGTCTGAGGATCTCATCTCGCTACCTAATGGCGTACCTTGGTGTTCTCTGGCAAATGCCAAACATCCTGCACGGTGTTGGACTGTAAGCACAACCCCCACCTGTGGACGTCGAGCCCTCATACCACCCTCATGGAGTCGGTTTCTGACCGTTTGAGCAGACACGTGCACATTTGTGGCCTGCTGGAGGTCATTCTGCAGGGCTCTGGCAGTGCTCCTCCTGCTCCTCCTTGCACATAGGCGGAGGTAGCGGTCCTGCTGCTGGGTTGTAGCCCTCGTACGGCCTCCTCCACGTCTCCTGATGTACTGGCCTGTCTCCTGGCAGCGCCTCCATGCTCTGGACACTACGCTGACAGACACAGCAAACCTTCTTGCCACAGCTCGCATTGATGTGCCATCCTGGATGAACTACCTGAGCCACTTGTGTGGGTTGTAGACTCCGTCTCATGCTGCCACTAGAGTGAAAGCACCGCCAGCATTCAAAAGTGACCAAAACATCAGCCAGGAAGCATAGGAGCTGAGAAGTGGTCTGTGGTCACCACCTGCAGAACCACTCCTTTATTGCTGGTGTCTTGCTAATTGTCTATAATTTCCACCTGCATGTGAAATTGATTGTCAATCAGTGTTGCTTCCTAAGTGGACAGTTTGATTTCACAGGAGTGTGATTGACTTGGAGTTACACTGTGTTGTTTAAGTGTTCCCTTTATTTTTTTGAGCAGTGTAGCATCTGTTCCTGATACTCTTCGCAACGCTTAACCCCCATTATTCACACTTTATCTTTGTTTTTGTTTTTTTTACAAACAAACCAAGAGTCATCAACATGAAGTCATACAAACTGGTAGGTAACTCTTTGACAGTTTGGTGATTGTCTTCCTGCATCTTCAGGACCCACGTGGAGAAAGTGACAGTTTTTGCAGCACTTTAATACTTCTGATGTGTACATTTATTGAAGAGCTTGCAAAGAAATAACTGATTATAAGCATTACTAGTAGGATATTATTAGGTTGCAAATCGACCACATGTCATGAATAATAGAGACAGGTGGAAGAGGAAATGTGTACAGAAATGATTTGGGGCTGACACTTTTTATTCACAATGCCATAAAACAAATAGCAACCAATGCCAATTAGAAAAAATAATTCCAGCAAACAGAAAGCCATACAGTGTGCAACGAGATGGTTCTGTTAATAAAATATTTTAATCAACTGATCATATGACTTAGATGTAAAAGTGTGTTTCCTACATTTGTTCTGCAGTACGGAAACCCTAAGCGGCCATCAGTTCAAACCTTTTTTTACTTTGTTTTCCCGTGATAACGGGATAATTTTCATGTGATCTTGATACAATAAAGCAGTCATTTAACACAGTAGTTTAATGGTCATTTCACTACCAGTATCAGTGTTACTGGTTAGCTCGGTTGGTAGAGCATATGACTCATACTATGGAGTTAATTAATCCTCATGGAAGACTTTTTTAAAAAACTTTTGCATAATCCTCTTCAACAAAGTTCTTATTGAGAGACTGGCGATTGGTCCACATCCATCAACCTGTGCACTTTTCATTTCGCCATCATTTCCAGGCAGAGGAAATTCCTGTGCTTCTTGTTCAGGGGAATCCATTTAACGTTATCACAGGAAAACAACATTCGTTATCTCAAGATCATGAGGAAAATGAAATTGGAGTAAAATAAATATTTAAATGGATGGCTTCTTAGGGCTTCTATACTGCAGAGACTAAATACACTTTTAATATGCCATTAATGGAAAGGGGAAGTATTTCTGCAGCTTGTGAAAAAGAGACGCAGGCTGCTTTCCAACACCAGTGGCACAGTTACTGGATTTGAGTTAAATTAGTAGAACAACAAAACCTTAAATTGAGAAGGTATTTGCCTGAATGTCTCTTTTTTTCCCCTTTTCTTGCATCTGCCCAGCTCATTAGTATGTGGCACAGGTGCACCGATTAAAACTCAGAAAATACACTGTAGATAACAAACTAGTTGTAATGAAGGAAAAATGCTAATGGAGCTAAGTTAAAGTAGGTTACTGGCCTGAAAAATGCTCGAGACTAAAAGAAAAGTTTAAAAAAGAAATGTGAAAAGTTAGCGTTCCTAACCTTTTTTGGTTTTAATATACACATCGCTGCAGAATGAGAAAAGGAAGGCAAAGGCAAAACACAATGAAAAACAACAAACCAGCTGAAGTCATGGGGAAAGAGTGTTCCTCACTTTATTTTTTTTTTTTTGTTTATTATGTAGGGCCCCACAGCAGCTCTTAAACAGGCCCCCAGAGGCTCATTTAAAGTATGTATAAAGTGTGATGGCAGTGATAAATTCTTCAACAGTTTGTTTTACCTGAATTATTTGCTTAATCTCTCACCAGGAATGTAGAATTTCCACTACAGGAAGTACCTGTCACGCCATCTATCTATTGAGAAAGAATCTGCACTTTGACGCATCACCAGGAAGAATTTACGAGAACTCATTTCATATTCGTCACACTGGAAAGTCAGCATTCGTCTCACTGCAGGTAAGAGTTGCTTTTTAAAGTAAAACTTGTTTATTAATGTTCGATATCTCCTAATTTTCTAATCTTTGAAGTTAAATCAAGGTGCAGATTATTTTATGGTGTTCTGTACTTCTCAGTGTTGTTTATTAGGCTCTTTGTAGTCTAGATGAAGCGGATGTCATTATTTGGACATTTCAGATTTTTCACATGGAAAAATCTTCTGTTTTAAATTTTTTTTAACAATTTAAAGGAAATTTTGAACTCTGGTTTGTACTCCACGTCAAAACTATTTATTTTTATAAGTAAAAGATGATGAAGATTCCACATTTTTATGCTTCAATGGTGTAAGAAGTACTTTTACTAACAGTAGGTGAGTAAATGAAGCGCCTTAATTCAGTATTTTACTAATTTAAAGTAATCTACTTTAAGGTTAAAGTAGTATTAACAGTTAAAGGTAGGTTATAGAAATGTTAAAAGTTCTTTTGAATAAAAATGTATTTCCTGTAAATTTATTGATGCCTTAACATGTGACAGCTGTTCCTGAGGTTGAAGCTTATTCAGCTGAATGAAAACTTTAGTTTATTCAGAATACTTTTTATAAATGGTGAAATTGTATTGATAACTTTAATGAATTAATTCAGTTCTGTTCAGGCAATCAGCTACCCTGCTGATTGGGTAGTATAAAAACAGGTGTCATTAGGTTGAGGGTTAAATGTGCGGTAATGCACACTCTTGATGCCACTTTTAATAATTGTAGCTACTTCACTACTTTTCTCTCTTGAGGCTAGATGCCCAAAAACTGGATTAAGACTTTAAGTTCTCCTCTAGATACTCTCACTCCTCTTTCAGTTCTCCTCCATGCTGCTTTTGTTTGTACTTCCTCCAGCTCACAGGTGTGTCTGACTTATCTCCTTTCATCTTCCCCAACTTCCTTTTTGAAGTTTAAAAGAGCTATTCGGCTTTTTTTGTTTACAGTACCAGTAAACTTTATTTATGCAGCACTTTTCTTAACAAGGTTTCAAAGTGTTTTACAAAAACAAAATAACGATCATAGGGTTAAAACAGTTAAAACAGGATAAAACAGTAAAACTTAAAATAAAGTATATAAATAAAAAATAAATAAATAAAAAGGTAAATATTAAAAAGTGTCTCTGCTATAGTGTAAATATATGTGTGTTACAGGTAAATGATGGTGTGTCTATTAGTTCCTCTCGTCTTGACTGTCCTCCTGACTGAGACGTCTGCTTCACTGTCATCTTCAGGTAAGAAAAACAGTAAGATGGAGATTCCTGTCAGTCACATAAATAACATTACACATAAATAATAATGACATTTCTCGTCTCCACAGTGGGTTTGTTCATTATACTGAATAAATATGTAATTCAAATTGCTTTTTCAAACTTAATAATTAAATAACGTGTCAGCAGGGACGGAGCAGGTCTTTTCATGCCCACCTCGGTGGCTCCTGTTTGGTCAGAGATGCTTCGCTTTCTACCCTGTGTGGAGCTCCTGGAGCACTGCCGATGTAAACTGAAGATACAACACATTTAAGTTTATACAATAGAAAATTCAATACATGGCTTCAATGTGGTTTAATGTGTGTGTGTGTGTGTGTGTTAGTTATTGTGCTCTCAGGCAGCTGGTAAACTGGCGTCGCTTCACACACCAGAGGAGAGACAGTTTGTCGTCTGCTAGCAAACACACACACACCTGTGTGGCTGGGTGGATACCAGGAACAGCAGGTATGGTGTCTGTGTCAGCGTGCTGTGCTCTTGTTCTTATATCAGGACTTTATTTAAACAAACACCTCTCCAGTGGAGGAGGAAGTACTTTGATGCTTAAGCAACTTTTCTAATACCACATTAAACATACTCTGTTCCAAGTAAACATCATGCATTAAAAATGTTGTTGTATCTGACTGCAACGAATGATTAATTTTATTATGAATTAATCTGCTGATTATTTTCTCCATTAATCTATTGATTGTTTGATATGTAAACATTTTAATAACTGTGAGAAATACTATCTCAATTACCCAGAGCCCAAAGTGACACCTGTCTCTTTGTTTTTGTCATCTATAGAACTGGTTTTGGAGCGACGACTCGCCCTTCAGGATGAGTGATTGGACCAAGCAGAGGCAGGGAAATACCAGCGAGGGCGGAGCCTGCATGGAAATGGAACCAAAAAGTAAAAGAAAAAACAAGGACTGAATGGATCGATGTAATTTATAAATGGATTATTATTTTAATATGAAATCAAATGCCATACGATTTGCTGTTTGAATTGCACAATACTTCATTATTCCTCTTTAAAAACTAAATCCTTCTGTGTGTTTTGTGCTCAGGTGGAAAGCTGCACAGCGCCCCCTGTGGAGAGCTCAGGTTCTACATCTGCTCCACCACAGTCAGGTAGGCGAAAATTTATTATTAGAGTAGTTATTATTTATTATCCCTTCAGTTTTATGTGAAAACTGACAGTAAATATTGTTGAAATAGTATCTGATTTGACAGTCAGTTGTTGACTAAAAACACATGTTGATACAACTAGGCTATACATTATGGTAGGCTACTGAATGATAACGCAAGTTGATGTTCTGGACCTTTGCTTGGTGAAATTTTCTCTAACTGGACCTCTTTAAATTCTAATTGAAGAAGAAGAAGAAGTCTGAAAACAATGTTAGTGGAAGTGTTCAGGTAATTTACTTTAAGGGACACAAAATCTGTTGAGTATCAGATTAAAAAATCATCTTTACTGCCAAAGAGGTTTACACATACAAGGAATGTGCTTCTGGTATTTTGGTGCAACAACAAAAATAGTAAGTAGAAGTTATAAAGAAAGATAAAGCAGGTACTGCAAGTCAAGAATCACCCAAAAATTATAAAACTGACAATAAAATATTTAAAAACAGTATAAAAAGAATAAAGAATATGTACAGTATGTTATTTAAATAACAGTTTGTGCAGTGATGTGCGACATATTTATGTATAAAAGGTGGTATTAAGCTGTTTGTAGTTTGTTTCTTCACATTTCATGTCAGTTAAAGAATTTCAGCAGGGACAACTTTTCAGGTAAATCCAACATGTTTTATTAGATGCTGTGGAAACATCAGAGTCTGTCCAATAATTGAACATGAAAAGATGAACAGATCTGGAGCAGTGGCACCTGCTCACTCTAGATCAGTTTCCTGTGGAAGCTTTAGACTGCAAATGTATGAAAATAAAATGCAAAGTCCTGATATTTGATGATCGACAACATGTGAATATGTTCGTGAATAACACTGTCATCGTGTGTTAACTCAAACATTAAGTGCTTGTTTGTAATCTCCTCTGTTTATCTCCAGCTCCTCTTCTAAAATCCTCCCCAGCGACAGGAAACCAGGTAACAGTTTACTGGTTGTTGTTGCATCCCAGTACGTATGGCAAAGAAATTACTGTTGGGCCATGTCTGACTTTGGAAATAAAAGTTTGACAAAACAATCAACAACAACTAAAAGTCCACTTACTACCTTTTTACAGATCTTTCCCACTGGCAGCTTTTGCCAGTCACTAACTGTACGATAGACTGAACACTGGAAACACTTCTTAATATAACGCAGGACTATTAAACATCACATAGCAATAACATTTAGATTTTTTCCCCCTCTGTCTCAGGAATCATTCGTGGTCTGAGTCTGTTTGATGTTTTGTGGGGCAACAGCTACTTGTTGGCGGAGGAGATTCTCCGCTCGTCCTCCTTCCTCAATGAGCTCCAGTCCGGTCAGCTGACTCAGCGCTGCTACAACAACTTCATCCAGCAGGAGGCGCTCTATCTGCACAGTGTCAGCAGCACACTGGAGGTCAGAGGTTTTCTTTCTGTACTAGACTAAATTCTGATCCTCTGATGCTCGTCCACTCTCTCATCAGTCTCTCATCAGTCTCTCATCATGATTTTCAGCTCTCTCCAGCAGTAATTTTTTTCTCGTTTCCTTCCTCTGCTTCAGCCTCTGTTGGTGCCGTCTGTATGTTTCCAAGATTTTCATGCAAAAACTCTAAACTTTACACTTCAGCTGATACTCTCTCTCTTGCATCGTACCCTCGTTTACACCAAAAAAGTTTCATGTGCTGAAGCCCGTCAGGCCAAACAAGAATCAGATTGATTTCAGGCGAAAACTCAATCAACATCAAAAAGGCGTTTGAGTCATGGAGAGACCTCCGCTTGTCTTAGACATATAAACCGACCCAGAGTTGGCTTTCATCCTGAACTACCATCACTGCAAAACATGAAAATATATTGTGTAATTGAGATTTAGTTGGCTCAGGTTGGATAATGTTAGCTTCCTAGTTAATGACGACCAGTTGCTAATGTTATCCGGTGCCAAATACTATAGTTGTATATCTTTCCACATTACTTCACCTGCTAACGTGACCCATGTTACTATCCTGTGGACCACCGGTATTTTGTCACTGTATTGATTTAGCCTGCAAGAAAGGATTTTATGGGACAAAAAAAATCTGGAGCAGTTTGTTATACAAGTCTAATGATGGCAGGGGCAGCCAGCCACGTGGGAAACTGTCTCCTGGTGAATTAGACTTTAGATTCGCTCGTTAGTTAGAGCAGTGGTTCTCAAAAAGGGGTCCGGGGACCTCCAGGGGTCCTTGATGGAGTTCCAGGGGGTCCCCAGGAAAAAATACATCCATAAGTAACACAGTGACAGAATGTATGACTATATTGTTAATGGATTTCATATACTTTCTGAAATAAATCATCTAAAAGTCAGAATTCTATCAAATGGGTGATCCTGGGACTCTTTTCAAATTGGGGTCCATGGTCAAACATGATTTGAGTGACTTGATGTTTGCACTGCTGTGAAGGTGATTTTAATTCCAGGTCTGAGTTGAACTGGTGTGACTGGGTGGAGATATAAGCGTCATGTTTTTGTTCCTGCAGACCCTGATGTATAGTTTACAGGAAGCAGATGAGAACACAAGATCACTGCTGCTGGACACACTCAAACACTACAGAAGCAGAAACCAGGTGAGACACCTTGATTAGAATAAATCAGAATCAGAAACGGTTTTATTACCAAGTAGTTTTACACATACAAGGAGTTTTACGCATATGCATTCGCTTTAAACATACACCTATGGAAATATAAAGCTATATAAAAAATATATAATATTGTAATTTAGTTTTTGATTGTGTCCTCCTCCAGAGCCCCCTCACTTCGCCTCCCCCACAGTGGCTCCACTTCGCCCTGCAGTCTTTCCACTCTGTGGTTTTGGAGGAGCCGATCTATTGGCTGGTGGCTCTGTCGGCCCGGGCCTGCCTCCGGGACTTCCTGGCTGAGCCCAAGCCTGGTTCCAAGTTGGTGTCTGGGTCTGAGGATAAGGCCTGCAGCATCTACCAGCAGTGGAGTGTAGAGAGTCTGAAGGAGGTCACCTGGATTCTCAGGTACACGGACGTGCACAGACATTTTGAGGGGGCAGGGTCTCAAGTGAAAAATAGGGCACTTCTCATAATTGTTTAATTTAAAAAAAATATATATATGTTAACACAATTCTGACTTCCTTACCAATTTATTTTAATTCCCTCACACTCATGCAATTGTTTCAAAACCTCCTGCCCAGCCTAATACGACAAATCCAAAGACCTAAAACGTAGAAGTCTGAAAACTGGGTCCTGTCAGTTCTGCAAAGAAAAAACACAATGCTATTGACAGTGTTTGTTTTGGTATTTTTATTCAAATATTGTTTAGTTTTCGCCATATTTACTTTGCGAGGTTTCCCAGTCTGTTTTTCGCCACCACAGTCTCTTTGTACTCCCGTATTACTTTCAGTAACAGTTCCACCTCGGTGTCGCTCCATGCAAAGAAATCTCTAGTGTAGTTCTTCATCTGTAGTAGCACGCTTATGCCCATTGTGTGTGAAGACCACTTGAAGTGCATTCAGTTGTTTTAATATAGACAGAGATAAATTCTGAAATGCAACTAAAACGCTGGTGTTTATAGAGATCGTTTTTGTTTTAAAACATTTTTAAACACAAATGCAGTACTGTAGATGGAGCCTGAGTCATGAACTGGGAACGTTTGGAAGAGGTATCTATCTGAGAGATCTTCAACTCACAACTTCGGCAGAGATTTTCTAGTATTCCTGTGGAGGTTGGGACATTGAGCCTAATGAGTGGCAAACTGGGGTGGTGGTTCCACTGTTCAAAAAGGGGGACCAGAAAGGGTGTACCAATTACAGGCGTATCACACTTCTCTGCCTTCCTGGTAAAGTCTACTCCAAGGTGCTGGGAGGAGGTCTCGGCCGACAGTTGAACCCCCGATTGAATAGGAACAATGTGGATTCTGTCCTGGTCGTGGAACAACAGATCAGCTTTTCACTCACACAAGGATGCTGGAGGGGGCCTGGGAGTGTCCCCATTCAGTCTATATGGCTTCTGTTACAGACAGAAGAGCCGTTTCAGTAGAGTGGCCACTCTTAAAAACAGACTGATACGGATGGTCATTCCTAGAGACATGGCCTGACTGTAGTTGTTACCAGAAGCTTTAAGCGAGTAGGTGTTCCTAGGAAAAGGAAAAGCTATTCTTGTAGGGGGCCTTGCTTAGTGGACTTGCACAGGTAGACTCGCTGGTCTTTACCCAAGTAGGTCTTCACACAAATAGCTTACGCTGACGCTTCAGTAATAGGTTTCTCTGAAGTAGTCTTCTCATCCTCTGACTGGGGGATCCCGAGGCAACACCAGAAAGTGTGATAGTATTTTGTAGGACATCCTACTTTGAGTATCACTCTACTTTGAGTGTCAGTTTTCCAGTTTTGGTCTGTTTGATTTCAGCAGCTTCACAGAAGAGTGAATGAGTCCCTCCTGACCTGAGGCCCCAGATCTGTGAGCCTATGGGGTTTGAGCAAGAGTCAGGTAAAGGAGGTTAGGTAGTTATTTTATGTTGTCCTAATTGATCCTTTTTACTCTGTGTGTGTGTGTGTGTGTGTGTGTGTGTGTGTGTGTGTGTGTGTGTGTGTGTGTGTGTGTGTGTGTGTGTGTGTGTGTGTGTGTGTGTGTGTGTGTGTGTGTGTGTGAGACAGGTACAGAAAGGTGTTAGAGGAATACCAGGATCAGATAGATGTGTTTAAAGCCATTAACATCTTCCACGAGCACATGATGAACCAGAAGAATTTCTACAAGGCTGTGTAAGAATCTGATGATGGATCTATCCTGTTCTCATATCAGGGCACCACATATGGGTACTATGTCAAGACCCTGTAGCACTGTTTTTGTACTTGCAGGGCTTTGCAGTCAAATTTGCAAGAATAACTATGTAAGGTCTGGTTAGACTTTCAAAATCAAACTAACGTTTTTCCAATGTTGAAGTTTGTTTAGGTTTAGTCACCAAAGTTTTAAAAAAGATCATGTTTTGGCTTAAAATACCTACATGACTTAAATGAAGTTCAATAACGGTACTTATTCAACGTATGTAACTTAGTTAACTTGTAGCACGACAATATTTAATTTAAAATATTGGATTATTACTTGGATTAATAGTACAGCCCTATTGATCAGTGTGGGTCTTTAACATGTGTGTTTCTGCTGCAGAGACTGTGATATAGAGGATGAAAAATTATGAAGAGGAGCAGGGTGTGTCCCCTGGTGAAGGTGAGTCATTACATCTTAAATTACATATATTTTTTAATTTATTTTTTTACAATCCAACAAATAGTGTGTGAGATAACTGGATTTGTAGTAGAAGTTGTAACAGTAATAATAATAATAACAACAATGGTAATAGCACTAGGAGTTTAAGAAGTAGCATAAGGGGGGTGTAAAAGATCCTAATCCATTTGGATGAACGGTGTATAGAAGCATAATACGATAATAACGCATTAACGTGCCCAGCCCTAACCAATACTTATTAGAGATATTAGAGAGGTAATAAAAGGGTTAAGAAGTAGTGGTAATAGTAACAGTATTACTAGAGTAGTTGTACTATAGTAAAATTATCAGTAGTAGAAGTTGTAGTAGTATATGCATGGGTGCAGCTAATGTCAATGTAGTGGGGGTTAGAGGTACTAGTTATAGTATTAATAGAAGTTAAAGATATATAGATTATCAATATTACAATTAAAGTATCATTGGTATTATTATTACTACTACTAAAATATAATTATTAGTAGTAATATTTTAAAATATTTAACAAGCCATTTAATTAGATTCTTATTTATTTTTTTAGGACATTAGATAACTCATCTCACCTTCAACTGAATCTCTCTATTTTCAGGATTTTCCCAGACAAACTAACAGACCTCTTCTCCACCACGATCAAGGAAGTGACTTCTCTCCTACAAGTGTGTTTGTAACCACAATACATTGTGCCAAGAATGAGTTATGTTTTTTTAAGTGTTCTACTTCCTGTTGACCTTGTTTGCAAACCTCAAAGAGTTGAGGGACAGCGCATATTAAATCATATTACACTTGTTTGGATGCAGTTTTTCTTGTGAATGTGGAGGAAAAAACTTTGGTTATCATTTGTTAGATTGAAAGATATTATTAGCTTGTTTACTGTATTTACTTTTTGTCTGTAAAAGAAAAAATAATGAACAAACTGATAAATTTCCTCTTTACCTTTATTATTAAAAAGAGGTTTAGTCTTACTTTATTTGACAGGAATACTGAAAATATGCCAGTGAGCCAGAAACTACTTTTCATCTGCAGTCGTATTTAAACAGTCCCATATTACTTTTATAGTTACTTTTTAAGTATACAAAGGGGTAAATTACAGTACATAAAATGTAAAGGGGACTTATTTCATTATAAAACATAAACTAAAAGAACCAAGGTGTGTGTCTTTTGTCCCGTGTCCTTTGTCTTTTCAAGTTCCTTGCAGGTCCTTTTTTATTGGTACAGCTATAGAGTATATAGAGAGAGAAACTGTAAAGAGTTACTTATGATATAATAAATGAAAAAAACAACTCGTCTATTTAGGCTATTACAAAGTTTTTTGTGATCATGTTGGTCATTCTCTAGCTACTCAACAGTTTTTGGAGCAGTCTATGGGCTAATATTTGTGGAATCTGAATTTTAATAATTTAGATATGAATTTGAATTGCTCAACTTGAATAACTGCATTAAAAAAACTGAATCTGAATAGCATCATTTGAAATTGAATTTATTAGTATGAATCTGAATTCCAGTAAACTTGAATTTTTTTAATGAAATTGTTGCAAATGAAACAAGTAAATTTTGCTGATAATACTTTTACTTAAAAATAAAAATACTGTATTTTCACAGTGTGCTTTTAGTATTTTACTTATATACTTCTTCCACCATCAATTGTATGTGTGTAAATATGTAAATATATACTGTAGTTCAATAACCCCGGAGTCACACAGGCAGCGTGTGCGTCGCGTTACTGCAGCATCAGAGCTACACTGCCCAACATATGCAGTAATGTTAAAAAATACATTTGAACCTAACCTTTATTGGACTTTAATATTTGTAACCCACAGAGAACAATCCACAAATGTGTACTATGGTGCGCAAATATTTCACTATCTACAAATGTGTATTTTTACATTTGTGTTGTGTACAATCATATCCACAAAAATACAGCGCAATTCGCAAATATGTACAATTTACTCTGTACACACATATTTTGATTTCACATACAAAGTTTTATTTACGCATTTGTGGATCTATTTTTACACACATAACAGTTTTTGCACATTTGCGGATCTTTACCTGTCAATTTGTTATTACCACTGGACTCTACTCAGTCTAAATGTTTGTAGTGTATTTAGTTTACTATTCAAATATTTGCGCATCATAGTACACATTTGTGGATTGTTTTCTGTGGGTTACAAATATTAAAGTCCAATAAATCAAAACGTCAAAGACCAAACTTTTGTCTTGTTTTACCTGTTTAATTGTGCAATCTACAAATTGGCATGTAATACATGTATCGATTCGACTTTGATAGCCTATTAATGATACTAAATGATTTATGATAACATGTTCTATAACGGACTTCTGTGTGGAATCGTCATGGTTATCTCAGTTCGCAATGGTTTATGGGAGTAGTAGTTCCTTTACTCATTTAAAAAGGATGTACACATTGTAACTTTGCCTTTTCCATTGTTCCTGTAATTTTTTTGTGCTGATTTAAATGTTTTGTGGTCACGATTCATATCGTAGCCAGTTGGATTCGCTCAAGGCTTAAAATTCTTTAAAGGCTTTTGGGGAAATCAATGGGAAATTTACTTTTGGAACGGAAATAAGGGGGCAGTCACTTTTAAACTCTATTTAACTATACAGTCTGAGGAGAGAACAACAACGATGACTGTCTAACTTTTGTTTTAAAAGATGGGCCTTTCTTTCCCAGTGCAAGTGGACATTAGATGACTGCACTCGTCTTCTGCAGACAGATTATGCTGTTGTCAGAAGTTTAATTCATGAGTGCTTTTATAGTATAGCACATTGAATCCGAGAATTAATGCACTCGTCGCAGGTGAATCAACTGGATCTCAAGGAAAACAATAAAACAACTTCCTGTTGTCTTTCAGAGGTTTTCTTGCTTTTTCCATAGTTCATGATCAGAATTAAAAATCGAACGAGCTCTCATGTGAAGAAATGTTTTATTTACATTTTATTGTCATCAGATATGTTAAAAGTCAAACCTGGACTGGCACTCCACTGAATTGTTTTCCTTTGTTTATTACAATACAGCTTTACATCAAGATCACAACTTTCACACACCTACACAGCACACAAACTTGAATGTTCTGCTGCAGCCAGTTCATCTTACCAGGCACCACTGGCTTGGACTGGTGCTAGAGGTCCGCCTCACTTCTCCAACTCTTCAGAGCTACTCTCATTCCTAAAGTCATGTGGATTTACAGTGTCACAGATTGCAGATGTTCTGTGTGTTTCTCCAGCTACAGTCAAACGACCTTTCAGGTAGGTTGCACTAGGACTTAATATTGCTGCGTTATATTGCTGACTTGACAAGCAGTTGATGGATTACAAATGTGTGGTTTATGTGATTTTATTGATAGAGTTGTTTATATAAGCTATACAGTGATTCTGTAATTCATTTACTTCTCAGGAAGTTCAGTTTGACCCGCTCTGCATCATACTCTGATATGTCAGACTCTGCCCTGGATCAAATGGTTAAAGATTTTGTAGCTGGGAATGATCTACTTGGACCGGAGGCTGTCAGGGCACAACTTCGGTCACAGGGACTTCGTGTACAGAGAGTTTATGCGTCGGGTTGATCCAAGGGCAGCTGCCCTCTGAACAATGTCGCAAAGATTTCAGCGAAGAGCATACCGCGCGGTCGGACCAAAATCCTTGTGGCACCTTGATGGGAACCACAAACTTATAAGGTAAGATGTCTGCAAAGTTTTATTGCTTACACACAGACAGACAGACAGACAGACAGACAGACAGTCAGAGAGAGAGAGAGATTTTTAACACCAACATATATTTACTATATGCACTGTACAAAAACATACTATATTACAATACTAGATACTTTTGCATTTACATGTGTAGCAAAAATTTAGATCAGCACATCTCAAAACTTAATTGACCCTCTGTCACAGAGCAGAGCGCCCCCCCACAACCCCAAACCACCTCAAATGTATCCAGGTCATCCGCAGCTCTGTAAAAACTGAAGTCTAACAGCAGTCTGGACTTAACCATTTTCTCAAAAACAAGAACCACATCAACACTTAACCCTTCCTCCACCTTTCGTCTCCGGGTCATATACACCGCCTGCATCACCAAGCAGTGAAACACCGTCTCTCTCTCACTGCAGAAGGCACATTTTTCTTCTACATCAGCGTTAATAACAGAGATGAAAGAGTTCAACGCTACACTGCCATGAAGGATTCTCCACTGCAGGTCTGCATGTTTCTTTGCTAATGGAGATTTGTACAAAGACCTCCAGGCTGGTTTAAAGTCAGGATCTAAGTCCAGAAAAACCCTCCATGGGGTGTCACTACGTCCACTCAGTGTTCTCTGATTCAAAGTTTTCACCATCAGTTTATAGAGAGTCTTTTCTGAGGCGTCCCCCAAAGAAGCACCTACAGGGTCCACAGGTTCAAGTAGAAAACCAGAACAGTTCTTAAAACCAGGAAAAAGCCTAATGGCAGGATAGAGATCAGTGCAGTTTGGCAGCAGTGTTCCATCAGAAAAGTCCACCAAAAGAGAGCAATCATGCTCCGTCAGCTTCTATTTCCAGTGTTTCAGTAGCTGACTTGTGACTCATGTAGACCTTAATCCAAGCCGATCAGCTAATCCAACAGGGTCGTCCAACCGAGGCCCAGCTAGCTCCACCACCTTCCCCAGAGTAGAAACCCCTGCAGTGTGAAGACGTCTGGATGGCGTGGGTCACCCCCAGCTAGGGCAATCCAAGAGTCCCCCAAACAGCACAGGCTCTTGTAGGAGCCAGTACAGAGAGTCAGCCTGCTGCTGCCTCTGCTTCCTCAGCAAAGTCCACACTGAGAAAACACTCCTGTAAAAAGCTGGTAGAGATGATGTGCTCAACCCCTCACTGTCAAAAACAAAGGATGCAGCAGGATAAAGGTCTCCAGACCAGGTCTGTCGGCCCAGTGAGCAGAATGAACTGAAGATGGAAGGCAGCGCCGCTGCTGGCCAGATGGACTAGACCCTGTCCACCCTCCTCCTTAGGAAGGAACAGGACACTCTGAGGTACCCAATGCAACCTGTCCCAGAAGAAATCAACTAAAACCCTTTGGATCTGTACCAGAAGAGAAGCTGGGGGACCGATGCCACAGAGCAGAAGAGACCAGATTATTGATCACAAGAGTGCGACCTCTGTAGGACATTTTAGGTAAGAGCCATTTCCATTTCATGAGCCGACCTTTAACCTTTTCCAAGGCATTGTCCCAGTTTTTCTGCACAAACATTTCAGTGCCCAGAAAAACTCCCAGATATTTCAGTCCTCCTTTTTTCCACACCAAACCTCCAGGTAACCTGAGCTGATCCCTCAGCCTTTCCCCCACCATGACAGCCTCACTCTTCCCCCAGTTTACTTTAACAGAGGATATGCAGCCAAACAGATTTACAGAATTCACTAACATATCAATGTCTTTCTGTGTGTTAACCAGCACAATGACATCATCAGCATACGCCGACAGTTTGAAAGAGACATCACAGTTTGGAAAACAGACACCACTCAGATCGTTTCTTAGTTTATGGAGCAGAGGCTCAATAGCCAGAGAATAGAGCATGCCAGACAGAGGGTAGCCTTGACTGACCCCCCTCTGAATATTGAAAGGAGCACTCAAGGAGCAATGTCACTATACAGAACCTGGATCTTGGCTATAAAACCTGGGCTGAACCCAAAGGCAGCTAGAGTTTGCCATAGATACTGGTGTTCAACCCAGTCAAAAGCCTTTTCCTGATCTATAGAAATCAGATCAGTGTCTACAGCCAATGAGCTAGAGACCTCCA